TGGGATATTGGTTGGTGAGCATTTTCATCAGTAGGCCTTCATGCCAAACCGTATCGAAGGCCTTTGCGACGTCCAGGAAGACAGCACCAGTGTACTGTCCCCTGTTGAAGGCCGCCGTGATGTGCTCGGTAAGGCGAAGGATTTGGAGTTCAGTGGAGTGATTGGGTCGGAAGGCGAACTGCTCGTCTGGAATGACTTGCAGTTCTTGGGAGTGGGTTCTTAGACGGGTTAGGATAATTTTTTCTACCACTTTGCTCATAGCCGGGAGCAGGCTAATGGGCCGGTAGTTGGATGGGATGGTGTGATCTTTGTTGGGTTTTGGGATAAGGATTATGTTTGCTGTTTTCCAGCGGGTAGGGAAGTGTCTTAGTCTGAGTGTCGCGTTTGTTATGTTTAGTAGGGCCATGAGGCCCTTGTGTGGTAGTCGTTTAAGTGTCGTGTTATGTATATTGTCGGGTCCGGGGGCTTTTCTGTTTTTAAGTCTGCGTATTGTCAGTCTTAGTTCGTCAGGTGTTGCGGGGGGGATTATGTCATTGTCTGGCTCTCTGTCGACGCGTCGGGCCGCGCGCTCAGCCACTATCTCGAATTCCTCGTCTTCGTCGGGCAGCTGAGGCAGTCTACACTGCAGTTCCAGGCTATCGGCGAAAGCCTCGGCCTTTTCCTGGTTCGTGTAAACCACCCCCACACTACCGTGGATTGGAGGAATTTTACGGCGAGCGGTCTGTCGCAGGGCCCTCTGCGTTTTCCAGAGGCTGTTGTCTTGTGGATCCAGCGACTCCAGGTGCCTAGCCCAGTTATCCTGGGCCAGTTCATCCAGAGCCGCCTTCACCCGTCTGTTAAGTACGTTTAAGTCATGTCTGTGTCGGGGGAGGCGGGTGCGGGTGGCAAGCCGTTTCGCACGTCGTCTGTCACGTATTAAGTTTTTTATGTCATCGGGGAGGGTGCCCCGGGGGTTTGTCAGTCGGGGGACAATAGTCTCCGTCGTAGTCTGAGTCAGGGCGTTTTTAATGTCAGTCTCAAGGGAGAGGATTGCCGCCTCCAGATCATGGGTGGTTTCGATGACTGGGAGCGCCATGTTTCCTTGCATTACTGTTCGGAAACGCTCCCAGTCAGTGAACCTCCTCGTGAAGGTGCCTTCATATCTCTGTCTTCGCCCCAGATCCAGAAATATTGGATTGTGGGCGGAAGACCCTTCGTATTGGGTGGATATTTGGGCATTTAACGGTATAGATTTTAAGAGGGCAATGTCGATAACGTCGGGGCGTCCTACGGGTCCGTAATGTGTCGGTTCTGTCGGTCCGAGTATAGTCAAGTCGTCGTGTCTGTCTTGGTAATTCAGCAGGACGCGACCTCTTGTGGTCGTCGTCCCGCTGTGCCATATGGGGGACTTCGCGTTGAAGTCCCCGATGGCAATTGTCTGGGGCCAGGAAAGGATTTTGTCTAAGTCATTGTCAAGTAGTGGTAGTCTGGGTGGGTGGTAACAGGACACCACCGCAACGTCTCCATGCCGTAGCGATCTCACCGCTATCGCCACGGCCTCTGTGTTTTGAGTTTGGAGCCGCTGCAGCGGATAGTGGTCGATGCACTTCTTTACTATGAGTGCAACACCACCCCCGTTACGGTTTCTGTCATGTCTGTATATGTCATAGTCAGGGATGGAGGTACGGGATGCCTCGCTGAGGTAGGTCTCCTGGACAGCCATAACGTCTATGTTTAGACGGTTCAAGATGTCCACGAGTTCCGTTTTTTTGGCCCGGAACCCGTCAAGGTTCCAGGACGAAATTCTCAGCGAGGAGGGTTGGGAGGGCCGACGAGCCATTAGAAGTCGAATAATTTTTGCATATTCGACACCATGGTCGTCAGCTGGACGCAGAAGTCCTGAAGACGCTTTGTTGCGTCAATCAGGGCCGCCGCGCCCGGTTGGGAGGGTGTCGTGTCTGTGTGTGCGTGTGGTGAGGTGTTGTGTTTGTGTTTTTGTGTGTTTTGTGTTTTTCTGGTTATGTCAGCATATGTGAGTCCCGGGGTTGTGTTTGGGGTGGGTAGGAGGGGTTGTCTGTGTGTTTGTGTAGTGTTTTGTGTCGTATGTCTGTTTGTGTTTTGTGTTTTTGTGTTTTTAGCTTTGGGGCACCCCATATAGCTGGCGGGGTGTGGCCCAGCGCAATTTGCACACCTGGCGGGCGTGTCTTTGGCCTTTTTGCATACGTGCGTGCTGTGGTTTTCGCCACATTTTACGCACTTTGGCTCAGCTGTGCACCGGGTCTGGCCGTGGCCGAACCGCTGGCACCGGTGGCACTGTGTGGCAACCCGCTGCTTTCGCTGCAGCTCTACTCGAACCACGAGCGAGCAGCAGCGGGTTACCTTCAGGATGTCCTCCTGGTCCTGTGGGGCCTGAACTAGGACCAGGGGCATTTCCTGTTTATTTTGACGGCTCGCCATGCGGTGCACTATTGCGCCGGGGAACCCTTGTCTTGCGAGGTCGAGTTGGATCTCACTTGGCGAAACACCCGCAGATATTCCGCGTATCACCACCCGTTATTTCTTCGCTGAGGGTGAAGGTGTGGTACTCCTCGCCTTTGCCTGTCAGTGTCTTTGTCAATAGTCTATGGTCATTTGGTGTGTTTGGGTATATGGCTATACCGTCTTTAGTGAGTTTGGCTTTTGTGTAGTTAATGTTAAGTGTTGTTGAGTATTTTTTGTACTTGCGTCCACCGCTCTTGCTTTCGCAAGATTACCGGGGGGACTTGTTTGGTTTTGTCTGTCTGTTTTTGTGTGTGTGGTGGGGTATTTTGTAGGGCGCTTGTGGAGGGTGTAGGTGTCGGGGGGCGCGTGTTTGGTGTTTGTGGTCGTGTTTTGTTTG